AGTAAGCATATACTGAATTAAAAATGGGAAAAGATATGAAACCTAAAATAACTGCGAATACAAAAGAATTCGGTGATATATTTGAATGTGAAATAACTTGTTTAAAACGATCCCAAACTCGGTTTTGGAACTGGCCACTCGTGACCCCGCTTGTCGCGTTTTACTGCACGCCGTAAAAAAAGAAAAAAGATTTTGAAATATATTTTTTCTTTAAAAAATAATAAAAGGGTTATAAATATTCCTTTTTTTGTTGGCGACGTTTGCCTTATTGAGAAATGGTCGCGTCGTGGCGCAAGAGATTCGAACGAATGAAAAAAGGAATTCGTGTTAAGTATCCTTTATTTTCGGCGTGGAATTGTTATAAAAAAGTATATATTGCTATTGATCACTATTAGTGCAGTTTATTTTTAATCCTTTCTTTCGTCTTCTTTTGGTTTTCTTCTCAGTAATATCTATCTGTTGTAAATAGCCTATATTCGTCCTTGGAATTCAATCTCACTTAACGTCAAACTTCATTAAAATCCGTTCAGCCGTTTCTACTTGAAAAGGTAGTAAAAATACAGATATACACTTTCATATTTATAATAATAATAGTATTAATGTAATACTTATTCTGAACATCATTGTATGCTTTTATTATAACTATTCTACTGCAATTCGCCATAGCTGGCCTTTGCAGCTTTACCGGAAGAATATACTTCTTCCCATGAAGCTATTGACCGTAATAATGTACTATTGTATTACTATGATACGTACTAATCTATAAATTATAATAAATATAATAAATACAACTACATAATAAACAAAGCCACAGTAATATTTCAATTGCCGTTTTTAAGCGACGGGACCAATGACGTCAAACCACAGTGAGGAAAACATTTGTTTCCGACAAAAATTTGAATCGGATAATTCACAATAATTAGTCTTCATTGTCTCAGATATAAACAAAGATTTATATTAGTATTTTTTTTCGTGAAACTAAGAATGAAACTCGATAATTCGAACATGCAATCAGTGACAATGACAGGGGTATTGACCCTACGATAAACATTTTTATCAATAATAATCTCAGGACAATTCACACAGCGACATCTAGTCCCAAGTTAAGCTAGCTAAAGCTTGTGTTATGGGTACTAGATAACTGATACAAATACATAGATTTTTTTCGTAAATACATACATATTATACATAGAACAGCCAGACCGACACAAACAATTGTACTCGTGAATACAAATGTTTGCACCGTGCATGGAATCGAACCCGCGACCATCGGAAGTATAGCGATGTCCTAAACCGCTAGACCACCGAGGCCGTCATATCCTTTGAAAACACATAGAATACTTGCACTCACGACTGGTTATTACCACAAAAACTGTTAAATATGAAGGTAGATATAGGTGTAAGCATTTTTCAAAAATTTTATCGACATAATGTCATATCTATATTTAATACAGAACCAGTAAGGAGATCCCCACTTTTTATGTTAAGCAGGTGCATTGTGCACGTTTGAACTGCTATATCATTATTTATTAGGGTTCCCGCGTAAAAAAAAACAAATGGCAGCACAATTATTAACATTGTCCTTGTCGCTTCAAATGATTATGTGCAATAAACATAAACATTTACTTTGCAGGACATCGAATCAATTAAAAGTTCTATGAAGGAATTATGACATTCATACCATTTTAGTCCACCCTTAATTAATTCCCGTAAATGCATCGACTGCAGCCACCTATTATGTATTCAGCAGTAGTGCAGAAACGCATCGCCATATTTGTCTTTTATTATTACTTTCTTTTTTTTTAATGTACCCATCAAGAATAGAGATAAAATATTTGTCTATGCTCTATTACGAGCATTTCTTGCTTTTTCAGTAATAGGACTTCTGCCAGTGTTTCTCAAAATGTATAACTGTAGGGAGTCACGGTAATCGATACAAATAAGTTTTAACTCATTCCTATTATGACTATTACAAACTATTTTTAAAATTGGAACGTATTTAACGATTATAGATATATATAGATAATATGCATATAGCTTATAAATTATGTTTTCATAATTTTTGTATAGTTTATCTTACTTCTTACTATTTTATAAACACGAATGCTTGTGACATTCACTTATATGAACGTTTTTTGTTACTCTTTCAAGAAAAAACTACTGAACGGATTTTGATTATACTTTAAAGAAATATAGATTGTATATCAGAGGCCTATAATTTAAAAAAGATATTATGTCAATTGGGCGAATAATAACGATAAATGTCAAGTAAGTGTGATGCAGCTGAAGTTGTGCAGGTCGGCCAATATTTAATAACATTGAAAGAAACTGTCCTACAAAATTAGTCATACATTTCTTGCTATATGATAGGTGTGTATCTACGCCAAATGGATAGGTACCTAATATTTCCTATTGCATATACTAACAAATATTATAACAGATAAGTTAAGTTTTAATTTTAATAAAAAAAACTCTTATGTATGTATAATATTTGTTAGTATACAACAGACGATTGTATAGTTATGGTTTTTTATCAAAACTATAACTGACTATTTACCTTATGTATTTATTATCCTCGTTATAAAATTTTACACTCTTACCCTTGTTTGTGTAAAATGTACTGGAACTAAATTACTTGCATTATATATATTTTTTTCTATTAAATATATTCTTATATATTGGGGAGGAGATTATAAGTAAGATTATTAATTCCCTTTCTATCAATATGATGTTGGGGCTACCTGGATTCTCAGAGGTGTTTGTACCGGCGCGGATATATGGTTTTAAGCCATAATGCGAAAAAGAACTGCATGACTGATGTTTAAACTTCGGGGGAGAGCAAACGACCTCCTAACCACTATTGCAAATATGTTAGATGGTCCGCTCCAGAGGCACTGAATATCCCAGTGCATCTGGATGTGGACACAGATATATTTACTAACATGGATAATATATATATAATATCATGGATGTAATCCGAAATAGATAAATAAAATATAAATCTCCACAGGGAATTGTTCTCCTAGAAAACCATCGTAATAAATTCCTGTATGCTAGCACCATTTCATATCATCCATTACAAAAAAATATGGTATATTCTTAACTGTTTATTCAGCAGTTTTGTCATTTGTCAGCCTCTATTGTATTGTTTGTATGTTATCACTCCTTGGGACTGTCCCCGGCAATAAAACGAAGGAAATCTACCTGAGTTTAAATATTTTAGAAAGTTCCTAATTATTTATGTAGCATAACTTACATTTTGTACCTATCTATCTATTGGTGTATATTGGTAATGATGACACAGTAAATTAAAGTATCGTTTAATAATATATAGTAACTGTATATATATGTTAACGATCTCAATAACTACTGAACGGATTTTTATGTTTTCTGTCATCGACAGAGTGATTTCAAAAGAAAGTATAGGCGTATGATTTTGTGTAAATTAGTTGAAATAATCATGCAAAGCTGGGGCGGGTTTCATGTCTACAATAGAAATATAATAATAATAAACTCTTGTGCACTGAGAAGAATTACATTAAGTAGGAAATTAAAAACAAAAGGCGGTCTCTTAGAGCAACCATTTACGTCAAGTAAAACACTTGTGCGCATAGAAATTTTTTTTTATATATTTTAGACTCTACTTTTTTATCGTTTTTTACGTATTTGTCAATATTGAGTCAATGTATCGCGCACTAAATACGACATGCATTAAGTCCAAAATAGACTTTTCTTTAATTAGACTGTAATGATATTAAATTGGGGTGTATTTTCCAATATTTGTAATTTTTGTCTTAATATATTAACCTTTATAAACTAGTAAATTATATAAACTATTGTATTAACTTAGGAATAAAGTAATAAGATCAGTAATAAGTTCATAATATACAGTTTATATTTCCGACCAACCTTTTTGAATTATTATTTTATATTTATGACGTATGACGTATTATTTCTCATGTAAATTTATGAAAGTTTATATATTGTGCCATTTGAGCAAATATATACCTATAGTGACTATTTTTTATTATAACGACATTCCTCCGCTATCCATTCATAAAGATTGGATTCAGTATTTATGTACACACTACACCAATTGAGTTACATTATTACATATTAGTTCATATAACAGAATAATGACAAATATCTAGACCTAGTTACAATTACTAGGTCTGTACATCATTCATTATTTACTATACTCATTCAGAACTCAAATACTTCAAGTAACTACTGCTTTAAACATTTACTTTATATATGTATACTATTTTAAAACAATAATTAATACAATATAGTATATATCTTTATTATTACGTGTTCATCTGTAATGGTCAGATGTATAAGGACTATAGTAGGTATATACATAATGTTGATGACGCAATAAAGGAATAAATATATAACATATTCGATTATTTACTTCTTATATACAAGTAATAGTCTATAGAGCGGAGAATAAACTATTCTTTCTATTATAATTTAGTACCTATATTCAATAATTTGATGTCTATCTCATGTTCTCTCATTACTTAATATTTCCTTAGATAGCAACATTACGGTTGTATACCATTATTGTAAAAAGATTCTAAAGACTTAAATAGATTAGTCACATTTTCGTTTGCAATATCTCTATTAAGTAGGTATTAATTCGGAATAAATATTGTAAATACATTTCATGACGAATAATAATGTAGGTAACAAATGTGGGTAACATTTTAGTACATATACATTGGCTATGTCGGCCAAATGACAGTCGTCAACTTGATTCTTGACGCCATTTAATGTTAGTCGAATGCGTTCTAAATGTGATAACATTACTAATTACGTTATAAATTAGTCGACACACTTCCTAACTGATAACCGACGGCGCCGAGCCACCAAACGGATATGTCCATGCTTATGGACTACCGAAATATCAGTTACTTGTAAAAATACATAATCTTGGTAGCGGAATAACAGGCCACCGACCTCAAGTGTGATGGGCCATAATTAATCGGCGGGCATACCTAAACAGAGCAGGCATGGCGCTGTCCACGCGCCTTCTAAACACGAATCACCAATCCACAATAACACATATTACATACTAGTTATCACACACTGTCGCCGGCTACACTCGCGATGTACACTGGTCATTATTTTGTTTATCGCCGTGAATTTTGTTTCGAGACCGCGCGAAGGTGACGGTCCAACGGACGCGAGTCAACTGCACACAACAATACGCCGCGCGCGAGAACAGACCGGCACGCACACTGACGCTGTTTCACTCACACACTGGTAGGTACGGCGTGCACCGACGGCGGTATAAAAAACCTACGATCGGTATGCAGACGTTCGGTTTGAGCAGGTCCTCGGCTTGACGCTGTTTTCGTCTGCGGTCCAGGGTGGCGGAGGCGGTATTTTAATCTCCCCTAATTTGACATCAAAAGACATCTTAATCGATCGAAATTATGAAAAATTACAAAAAATAATTATTTCGATCTCGTTATTGTTTGGAAAGTATTTTTGATAATTATGATTAGATTATTAACTTCTCTTGAATACACCAAATTCATGTTATATCATTACACGTAAAATAATAATTATTAAATTGTGTACCAATTACTTTCACTAAATTCTTACGATGGTAAGCGATTGATAAATTAATAAAAAAAAGTCGGACCATTTTCTGTGTTGCAAAAGTTACTCACATGACTGAGTACTAATAAGTAAGTAAATATTTTTTTGTTTACAGTTTTAGATGACATTAAAAAGGTTTTTAAAATGCAATATTTTATTTATTTATTTCTTTAACCCTCTTTTTTCGTGCAAAATGTAAGCCCATTTGTTAAAAAAATAACATGTATATGAAAGTTATATTTGCACAAAACGTCATACAAATTTACCCACCTTCAGGGAGAAACCACCACGTGGTAACATTAAAAACAAAAGAACGGCAGTCAGCGAACCTTGAGTGGGCAGGCGATACGATTCGAGCCTGCGCCCGAGTCAGCGCGCCATGCGCCATGTTGCCGACGGCGTGAGCGAGACAGCGCTCTACAACTTATATGTGCATCCTTTTTACACGCTTGTTAGCGTTATTGCGTGCCGTAACTATACTCGTCAACGACTATACCACACAGCACACACCCACACTCAGAGTATTGTTACACAAAATTTATAACGAGCAAGTTGGATTTCGTCTCAGCATCGGACACTCCTAAATTCTTTGCGGAAGGATTCCTTTTTTCACCTTCGTGCCTTCTCAATCCGCTTGAGGCGATATATAATATACCTAATTCTAGATTGATAGTTTGTTTTTAGCTTGAATCAGCTTCTTATTTTGATAACAAAGTTGCTTTATTATTCAAACTCGTGTCCTACAGTCCTTAGTTTGTTAGTTTCATTCATCTAGTTCACTATTATGTAGATAGTTAAGTGATCACCACCTACTGCCAGTAATGGTTACAAAGTTTGAAATTGCGATGTACAGGCGTTTGGTGCAAGTTGTAAGCAGTAGGTGTAATTAAAACTATTTTTGAACTTATTCACATTGACTTAAACCTTTGTTTATTCAAATAAAGATAATTTTTATTCTATTTATAGCGCATTACCCATATTGCGACTGTGGTGCTCCCTTCCAAATCATGCACCATCTCCTATCGTGACCTTTGTGTCCAGCGCCTTGCACGAACGAAGACCTGAACAAGGCAATCGATTTTTTTTGTGTATGATAATGGAATAGTGCAACCACCTGCGCTAACGGTTTACGCTAGCAGGGCACCAGTGGAGGATGATAAGATGAGCATGAGGTCAGGTCAGTTAGCACATTGTGACAAATTCACCAAGAATTTATCACGATGGTTTCCAGGGGGAACCACGTGGAGGTCGACCTAACATGGTACATTGCTAGCAATGGGAGTTACTAATTCCCATTACTAACTATCCCCGTCCCCCCAAGGCAACCGCAATCGGTTGCCTTGGGGGTAATTGCCAAGTTTTGGTCTAAACATACATATTTAAGGCTATTGTTGACGAACATTAAAACACAAAACGAATATTACCAATATTATAAAGACCAGTTTTTGTCATACATAACTACATTACTCTTATGCCATACATATTGTATATAGTCAGAGGCAGTATTAACTAACGTCGTCGAACTGAACCCAACACTAGTTATATCGATATTTCGCTAAATATATTTTCTTCTGAAAAGAGTAATGTAAGGAACCACTGCACCGATTTCAGAAATTCATGAGTATGATTGTTTGTATCAGTCTGGGTGTTTTCTATGTATATTTCGTATTTACAAAAAAAATCTAAGTATATATCTGTCAGTTGTTTAGTACCCATAACATAAGCTTGCCTAGCTTCGTACTAAATGCCGCTGTGTGGATTGTTCAGAGATATTGTTATTATCTTAATATATCACTAATTCAAATGTAAACTAATTTACGGTATCCGCAGTTAGCCATTCGTTTGGGCCGTAGTGTATATAGAGCTGTGTCTAACATAGCCAGTCAGGTCGGAGGGGATTATTAGTAATGGAGAGTGTGGGCCGTCGCTAGCAATGTATTATATCACGTCGACCTCCACGTTGTCACCCCTGGAAAAAATCCATCCATTAATTCCTAGTGTACTCTCCACAGTGGGTTAACTGACCTGACTTCATGCTTATTATATCTTCCTCCACTGGTGTCCCGCCAGTGTATACTGTCAGCGCAGGCGGATGGATCCCATATTCGACCTTAAAAAAATAGTCAGAAGATTCACATGATATATCTTTAAATAATTTTATTGACAACAGAAAACTTAGTAAAATAAAAACAATCTTAATACTAGAAGCAATTTCTAAAAGGAACAATTTCACAAAAACTGTGATCAAAAGATAAGAAAAACTATCTTTATTTTTCATATCCACCCAAAGGTAGTCTGGTAGAAATTACTTAGTTATAAGACCGCCTTTTGTATCAGTTAATGTACATATATTTTAATTATTTTCTGTATTTGTTGCAATGACGAGTATACATAAATAATACTAATAACAATCCATGCCAAAGTATATTTTGCTATTGCCCATTGGTGACGGTAACATTTATTGCTTTCCATCACTTTATCACCATCTAGTTGCCATTGCAACCAGTGTAAAAAAAAACAAATGGCTAATACTGCTACATAGCCAATTAGCAAAGCCATTGAAACATAAAGACGCGTTGAAACTATTGCTATTGTTATACATTATTAGTAATATGAATCACATAATGATACCTATACCTATCCATATAGAGTTTAATTTTGTAGTCCATTAGTTGTACTGCAAACTTGAGACCATCAGACAAAGTAAAGTAATTTATAATTTGTGAAATTATAATTTAACTTGCTTAAACAAAAACTCGTAGTTAGTTAAACAAAAAATAAACAAATCTACTATGTCAGGTAGACCTCCACCTGGTCGTCCCTGGTAAATCTAGTTTGTTTTTAGTTCCAGGTTTATCTATTTATCTATGTCTGCTTATCCTAAACTGATAGAAAATAGTGATTACTGACCCTATTGCTAGTAATGTCCCATATCAGGTAGACCTCGTCACGTGGACATCTCTGGTTTATTTTTATAAGTTACAGGTGATATCTATCCCTACTTATCCTAAACTGATAGGAAGTAGCGGGGACTACTAATCCTGTTGCTAGTAATGGACTATGTGTATTAGACCTCCTCCTGGATATCCCCGGTTTATTGTGGTTTATTTTTTGTAATTATAGGTACTCCAATTTAGGCGTCTTGTTCTCGCTATTTGACACGGGTGACAAAACACTGATTTTTGTGAAAGAATTTATTAATATTGTCGCTCAAATATCAATTAAAGGGAAGAGCTTCTCCACTGGTTATCTACCAGCGTATACGGTAATACTACAAGCGGAAGGAGTGCACCATTCCTCTATCGTCCATTAAAAATGTGTAAAAAGTCGTCTACGTAGCTCTGTCTACCTATATCAGTTATCAAGTCAATGTGCCAATGTCAATGTGCTTTATTTGTATATTAAAGATTAAATAAATAAATAAAAGTATGTTGTCCTCTGGAATGGCAACGCATGAGTGGCATTCATACAATTACATAAAAAAATGCGTGTGATGTCAAAGTTTCAGTAAGATGGAATTGTCATCATCACTTTTTATGCACATCCAATGACGACAATCCCATCGTACTAAATAACAAAAGAAATAACAATCATCTTAAATTAATGCGATTAATAACCAGAAAATTACCGTTCAATCTGGTAAAAGAAATAAAAAAATATATATTTAGGCTGTGTTGAGTGTAAACATATTTACTTCGATACCCTTCACCCTTCCATCTAATTCAGCAGCAGTTTCACCATAGAAGTAACAGCATTGCCCTGAATAAATAAAGTTATAAAAAAACTACTAAATAAAGTTAGAACTTATAAAAAAAAAAAATATATATAATCGTAAGTGTGCAACTGTCCTATAACAAGTTGACAATGATTTCATTAGTGGCAGGCGTGGCTCGTGTTACCGCCGTTTTTCGTGTAAAATGAATACGCCTCGACTCGTAGTGAATTGACACCATATACATTTATGCAATATGGACTGTTCTTTATGGATTACTAGCTGTGCCTGCGACTTCGTCTGCGTAGTATAGTGACCTTGGATAGCATTTTTGATTATTTAGGGTAATTATAAAAAGAGAAAAGTTCTTAGTAAAAAGTAGCTTCAGAAATAATGAATTTCCATTCAAACTTTCGTCTCCTATTTTATTTTATCCCTTAAATGTATTTTTTACAAACTTTAAAATATTAATATATGTTGACGGCCTCGGTGGTCTAGCGATTTAGGACACTCTTTACTTCCGATGGTGGCCAGTTCGATTCATCGGACGGTACAAACATAAAATTCATGAGTATGTTTGTTTGTGTCTATCTGGGTGTTTTCTATGTATAATGTGTGTATATAATAAACAAATATAACTAAGTATTTCTATCAGTTGTCTTGTATAAGACCCATAACACGTAAGATTAGCTTAGCTTGGGACTAGATGGTGCTGTGTAAGGTAACATTTTTCAGGTAACTTTTAACAACCCCATTCCCCCAACACTTGAGTGGTATCACGGGTGTCACATGATAACGTGATATCCGTAATGCTGTTAATATGCACTACAGGCAATGGTTACCATTTACCATCAGGTGGGTCGTC